GAGGGGGGGGGGCAGGGGCGGTGTCCTTGCTGTCAGCATGGCATGGCGGCAGGGCAAAGCAAGGCACGATAACGGCAACAGGGCAGGGTGCTCAGGGGCCGGCAGCTCACGATGCCGTCAGGGCCAGAGGTCGTTGTTGAACCCCCATGCGGTGTAAGAGCCTCAAGGCAAGGCGAAAAAAAAATGGCCGAAAGGTTTCGCCGGAGGGTCCGCACCGGGTCCGGAGCCCGACGAAGCCATCGTGAATTGCCATTCTTTTTTCGACGTCAGCCGCCGAGACGGGAGACGCCGTGAGACGCCGCGAGCAGCCCATTCACACATCCATGGTCGCACTTGTCATTCAATAGCCCGGCTTCGATAGATGAGTGTTCGACACTAGACTCGAAGCCGTTCGAGTAACACAAGGTGGCTGGAACTTGGCGTCTTTTTCGTGCTCTGACCGACTCGCGGACGTTGCGTCGCACTCTGTACCTCTCAAGCATGCCCCCCTCCCACCCCCCTACGCGAGACGTCCCCCCTTCGAGCCCCCTCTCGAGAATTGAAACGGGAAATGTGAAGCAGATGCTGCTCAATGACGCTCGCCATGACGGTGCCAAACTCCATCTGTCGAGCTCTGCATCCAGGCGAGCGAAAGGCAGTCAGTCAGTGAAGGCCTAGCAGGTTGCCTGCGACGATTGAGCAACAGGAAGTAAGACCTAGATTCACGCCCCGTGAATCCCCCGAGACCAATCCAACCCGCGTGCGTTCGTTCCAGAGCGCACTCCCCTCCAACTCCAGGGGGGTATCCCTTGGACCCCGACACGATACAGGATTGTCGATCCCCCGAACGCCTTATTTTAGTCGCCAGCCCTTCTCAAGATCCGTCTGGACCCTGGAAATCATGTCAAAAAAGCCCTCCACCTATGTATCCACTGTAGAGCGTCTTCGTTCGCCACTCGGGCGCCAATCGTGTTACCATGTACATAGCCAAACGTGCGATTACGAATCCCATCTGAAGATTCAAGGCATTTGCACATGAAGAGGAAAAGCGTCAGGAAAGATCGGCAACGAAGAGTGGGCGGCATGTTGAGGTACGGTTGCCGCCCAGCGTTGCCACATTTCAACGACGGTTGTGACGACAAGGGGCTGTCTGTCCACACAACACGCATGGCCAGCCAACAGCCAAGCCTATTCTCTTTCCATCATCAAACTGTTGGTGTTTCTTTATCAGAAAAGAGTATGAGCATGTACACGTATTCCGGCAGCACCGTGCGCAGAGGATCGAAGGGCCGCTGTGAACATTGCATCAGTCTTCCATATACCTACCACACGCTAGAGACTACCTCGCGAACGCGCCATACGACACAGGCCTGGGGTGCGTCGCGACCATCAGGACTTCTTCCGTCTTCAATAAGACGCGACGACTCGGGACTAGCTCATGTTGTGCAATCACTCTGGGGCAGACACTCGCCTTCAGACTGGCATGAACTGCCGATGCTCACGCAAGAGAAGCTCACCTGCGCCAAGTGGTGCACAACAGGTTGATAGCAGCAGTATAGCCACCCAGACGAGCATCCTGAGAGCAAAGAGACACACATTCGCCAGTTGGATAGAGAAGAACGACATGGTGCTACAGCTCGTGCAGGTGGCGTGTCGCGCTCGACTCGACCTACCCTCACCAGAGCTCGCCTCGAGGCAGGCCGCAGAGTGCATCGAAATGACGGGCGTCAGCAAAACAAACAGCCCACAGCCTCGTCATGCCCAGCAAATGATGTCTTCCGTCCTGGCGATGGCCTCACCTGACAGACTTTCCCTGCCAGCCCCCTCCTGGCCTCGAAGTGCTCCCCGCCAAAAGCATTCATCTACAGACGCCACAATCTCGAGCCGAGGGGGCCAAGCTCTGGCCTGCTGGCTGTCCGCCATATCGAATGAAAAGCTCCCTGGTATCACAATCCTCCATCTTCACTCCCCCCATTGACCTATTCCCCTCTGTTCCCCTTCACATGCAGATAATCCCCTTCCTCTCCGCCCGCAGCAAGCCCCTCCTGCATCTCCTGCATTGTCCTATCCTTATCATGCCATCCACACGCACACGCATACGCCCCCCGAATTGAGCTCGCTCGCTCACAGCCAATCCCTGCCCTGCCCATCCGTCCGCATCCCCCGTCCGCCTACACCGACACCCGTCGCATCGCGTCGCGCATGCGTCAAGCAGCTTGGGGAAGCTCCAGAAACCCGCCAGGCAGGCCAGGCATCTATTTCGCTTTTCCCCCCTCCCCTTCCAAGCCACTTTCTGCAGCTCAGCTTCGCGCTGCGGCTGCAACGGCATGATAGTACCATCCCATACCTCGTTCGCATTTCAGAGGGCCCATCCAGCAAGAGAGCCCCGAGCGCTGGTCAATGGGCGGCGCAGCCAGGGCCAGCAAGAAACGTCTCGCCGACCAAGGTAGCTCGTATGACGCCCGAATGATGACTGTGTGCATGAACGGGCGCGCCATATGGAATAGGAAGCGATACACTCTCGCAGGCAACGCAGAGGCTCCGAACCCCGAGCCCACCAATGATGCCAAGCCAGCCTGCACAGGTAGTAGGCCGACCTTGTCTGGGGCAGGCAATGCGAACCAGGAAATAGGGCCCAATGCTCGTCCACCGGCAGAGAATAGGCCAGTAGTCAAGGGCCCAGCCAGCGATACATCCGCCGCAACCCCGCTCCATGCCCTCATCCGCCTTGGGCTTGCTGCTTGCCAAGGGCAGTTGTCGAACCAGGTTTGGGTGAGAGATGGTCCAGCTCAGGTTGAAACATGGGCAGAAGCTCATAACCCGAGAAACGATGGCATGATAATCGATCAGTGGGCGATGGACAAACCGGGAAGGTCGTCCACGCAGCAGAAGCAATCAGTGCTTCTCTTGGCGCGCAACCTCAACGGATGATCTGATTGTGGGGTGCCGGACATGGCCCGGAGGTCACAGTCGCATTGACCAAGTCGTACATTCTCAACATTGGGGCTCTCCAGGTCGTTCGCTGCATCATACGACTGAAGGAGCTCCTCGTAATCGCATTGATCACAGAGTCATTCCAAAGGAGGCTTTGCCGTTCTTTCCTCCACGAATTTGAATCTGTATGATCTGACCTTTGACGATTCACCCAGAGCAGTGGTCAGTTCACGGAGGGCCCGGCTCTCCCCGGATCTCTCAAGCTCGGGATCGTCGGACCCTGAAAAAGCAGGGACCTCCTCGGCCGTCCCCTTGCACGTCGCCACTGCGCAACGTCGGGGCTTCTCCCTCAAAAGAGAAGGGAGCATACGTGCCCCATGCTCCCAGGATGGGGATGGAGACAAAGATAACACCATCACAGACGCGGCTTGATAATCTAGGAATGAAACTGTCGGTCACTGCCCCAACTTGCAAGGCCTATCCCCTCATCACGTCGGCTGCCAAACCTTCTTCGTCTAGCGCCTTGACCTAAGGAGAAGCCACAATACCCTCCCTTTGACCAACCCTCAGATCATATTGCCCAACCTCCCTAGTCATTCATGTCTACTTCACCGTGTTGTATCTTGTCGTCGGAAGTAGAGCACAGTGTCCATCGGGACAGGCCACTTGTCAACAGCGAAGCAGCCACCCAAAAGCCACACCTCGACCCGTGCTTCCACCAGAGGGAAGCACAGGTTCGGTCAAGTGACGCTCCCAGCCTAGATTGCGGGGAACCCAGAGCTGTTTCTTGTTGGCCCCTGACACGACTCTGGCTAACTGCTCGTTGGCTCGCCACAAGGCAGAGGGTGCTTACTCGCATGGTCCTTTCACACCCTCCACGCAGTCTAGGCCAATCTTGACTTGAAACCCGTTTTTCGGGGTCCGCAGCGTGGCAAAAGGGTGACTGCGGTCGTAATTTGTCGTTCGGCCTTGCAATGCTAGTCAGTGCAGGTAGCACTCGCTACATCCGCTGTCTGACCCGGAACTTTCATGGCCGCCTGCATTGCATGTCGCTATGAGCCTCCCTACCTACCTCAGCCATGTTGCTGCAGAGTAAGACTGGCGTCGCACAGCTCACAGCCGACAACACCATCCTGGAATGCGAACCTCCAGTGAACTATGTTTGCAGTCGCGGAGCTCGATCGCCGACGTCAGTATTGCATTTCCTCATTGTTCGCTGGCGGTCTTCGCGGCTAGATTGAGTTATTGAGCCTGGGTAAGAGTAGATACATGCTCGAGGCCTGAAGCGCAATGCGGGGAAACTGAACTGTTTTTGCTGTTGATTCTTTTTGAATACGCCGAACCTGCCAGCGCACAAGCAGTCAGCCGCCACCTGTGTCAGCAACCTCAGCAAGACTCCGGGGTATGCCATGTCGTGAAACATGGCGTAGTCTCGGGGTGTGCGGGGAGAGTATGGCGCGAAGTCGAAACCTGGGGAAAAGAGACTGGGCAGTCTCCTTGCCCGCAAGGAAATGTACATGGTCCAGCTGGTTCAGGGAGAGTTGGTGCTCAGGCATGACGAGATACAGGAACTGGTGCCCGCGGGCTGAGTTGGCCGTTCGAGGACCCCTCCGCTACAACTCATGAAGATGGACGACTGCAAGACCGGATTCTCTCGTGTACAGAGATGCCGTCGAGCCCAGTCAGTGGCCAAAGGCAGGTGGGTTGAAGTAGAGATTAGCTGGAACACCGATTAGCTGTTGGATTGTCTGTGCCCAGAAGGATATGATCGCTTTCGTCGCACTCAAGCCTTTGCCACTAGCTAGCTCTCATCTCTCAGCCATTTAACAAATGACAGCGTACCTAACGACAGCGATCAAACACTGACTTGGATGGTAGCTCGGAGCTGCTGGAGAGCGCCATTCGTGGTTCAGGCCGGCTACTCCCCCTATGCCAAAGCCGGACGGAGGCTGCGCCGCCCCGTGAAACCCGCGGCGGCCTGTGCCATCACGCGGGCGCCGGTCGTATTGATAAAGTCCAGAGGCCAGACCGGGATCGGCAAAGAGCCGCACGCCTTGGCCACGAGTCGTCAGCTCTGTCGATCGCTCGTGATGGCAAAGTCTGGGTTACAATGGACGCAAAGATTGGCAGTCAGTGTTGTGTCGATCTTTCGCTTCGCTGCGGGGCTGTTGTAACATTCAGCACAGAGGCACTTGAGCGCTTGCTTAACGGCGGGGCAATAGGGTAAGAGCTAAGTCAAACTCTATCTCTGGAAGCTACAAGAGCCGACAGGGTCAAGATGAGGCTTTTCAGCTGCATGCCGCGCTGCAGAGTGAGGAAACGCTCATCTCACCGCCATTTGGACGATTGAATTTCTGGGGATGTCTTACTTGCTTCAAAGGCCGGAATGCCTTGAAGTGAGATCAGCGCAGAGATCTTCGGCCGCTACACGCATTAGCATGGGGATAATGAGATGTGGCTTGCGTGAGACAGCAGCTATAGTCGTGTGCCTGCGCGGTCGTGCTCGCTACATTAGCTTGTAGCGCAAGTGGTATATGTCGCTGATATGAATTGAACACATGGGGATTAATGGCTGGTCAGGTTCCGGAAAGGCGGTCGGTATGTCGACTTGAAAATGCTCCGAGTCGCAAACGTCACAAGTAGTTGGCGGACCCTATTGAGTCTCGATTCCTTATCGTTGTTGATCTGACCGCGGACACCCAAGAGGCCGTATTGAGGAGTGAAACATGGCGAGGGTGCACCACGCCAAAGAGCATTGAGACTTGACTCATCTTGAAAACATCAATCATCATGATCGCCAAGGCCCTTGAAGAAATGCCCACGGTTCCCAGATGCCCGGTTCCCCGTGACCACAACGCTACGTGATGCATCGCCAATCGGTCTGCCACCCCGTGTCAAGGTAGAGAGAGAAGTGCAGCGACAGGCGCCAAATCCAAGCCAGTGGTAGCACTCGCAGCCACCCAACCAGACGGCACAATTTCGCCGCCTCATTATTGACCTTGAATATCCATCCCACATCAGATGAAGAGAAGTCGCTGTCACAAAAGCCGAAAGAGTAACTGGCAACATGCGGAATCGATGCGCTGGCAGCAAGAAGGATGGTCCATGAGCATAACCTCCAAGGCAGTATCGTGGAACCCCGGCCCCGGGCCGATCGGCGCTCCAATACCCCATCCCGTCCAGGAACGAGGAAGGCGTACATGCTCCATCCGTCCCAGGTCTTCGGGCTCGAACAAATCAGGAATTAGGTGGGCGACCGTGGGGTTGTCGAACAGCAGGAAGTCCTGATGACATCGTGGACGCTGTCAACCGCGCCGCGCGGCAGGCCACGACACGCCCAAAGAGGCCATGTCATCTTGTAGGGCCGCGGGAAGTGGAGAAGGTGCAGGGCCAAAATCAAGGCACAGAGGCAGAAACGATGTTGCGGACAGCCCAGCAAGGATGCGACTCAAAGAGATGAGCTTGTCAATGAATAGTCGTGGGGTTTGGTTGTTCCTCTTTCGGACACCATGGAGCTTCAGATGGGGCTTGGCGAAGCAGCCGTCTTACCCTTGGAGCAGTGAGAACTGGGAAGGAACTGTAGGAGGAGATTGAATGCAGGAGCTAAATACGGAAAGAAGATGCTGCTTTCATTGGCCCTGAGACCCATCCCGCTTGTGCTTTCCTGCCAATCACCTTGACCGGGGGTGACCTGTCAGCAGAGCAGAGATTTATTACAGGCATGTGGCACGGACCACATGACCTTCTTCGCAAGCTTTGGCGAGCTGGCGGGGGTTTATGGGCAGGTACCAGTGGCTGCCCTGAGGCCCAATGCCCAGTGCAGAACGTTGGAAAGAACGATGAGCCACATTAATCCCCGATGCCCAGCAGAGCGGGTTGCACGCAGGTTGACGTCATGAAGCCTCTGTGCGTCACAGGCCCTTTGCGCGTCGTCGCGACTGCCGTCCAAAAGCTCTGTAAAAGTCCACTGCATTTGAAGCTTTTGGCGATGATGGCTTAGA